ATCTTAACGCAACATCTATCAATTCTTTTAACATTATTTGACAGAATAATATCCCTCTTATCTTCAATACTAACATCCTTTATACTTATCAAAATATAGTTATGATTGCTAAGGGAATTTTCCTCCAATATTTGCATGTCAAAGTTCTCAATAAGAGAATTTGGAGAACACAACACCAAATCCGTATATCCATCTCCACATGCAGAAGAGAAGGTTGGTCTAGAATTTTCTTTATTCAATAAAATCAAATCATTTAAAATGATAAAATCTGAAGTTAAAACCCCTCTTTCATCAAGACTCTTAGCCCCCCAAATAAAATTCTTTGAGTTAAAATCTCCAATAATAATAAAACTGTCTTTAAAAACAGATATAACTTCTTCTAATTTTAAAAGATACGTATTCAAACATTCCACAGGGGAAAAAAAAAATAAACTGAAATCACACACACCATAATTCCTTCCCTTTTTCTGTATTTCAATGGCAACGATAATATCAGAAGCGTGTTTAACTATGAATTCAATCCCAGGGTTTACGACAACAATAGCAGCTCTTCCTGTATCTGCATGGATGGTCCTCCAACTGTTTTTAATATAAGCCATTTTCTTTCCAATATAATAAGGTTCTTGAACTGTAACAATATCAGGAATATCCTCAGAAATATTATCTATTGCAAAGAGCCGGCATGCCGCAGCATTACAATGATTAAGATTACAATTTAAATGTGCATAGTTAAAAGGATCCAAATAAAACCATTCAATATAATAATTATAATTTAAAATCCAATATATACAGTTTAAAAAACATATATACTGTTAAAATCAGCAATAATTATCCTGAACTTACCTGGGAGGCAAGGGTATAGTTTCTTCCAAGATTTTCAATTATAATTCCTTTCCTAGAGGTCTTCTTTTAGAAATAAATTACACAATAGTTCAAAAGTCCTTTATTTTCACACAATGTAAAAGCCGTAAATTATTAATTCGTAGCCACAGGAATAAATAAAAAGTTTAAAATTAAAATAAAAATCAAAATCTCCCCACCGCAGAAGCTAAATCACCTCAAGTTTCTAGATCTAAATGTTCCCGAATAAATTTTTTCTCTCTTATAATCGAGGGACACTCTCTCCAAAAGGTATCGTGGTCATATTCCACATTAATACCATATCTATCTAAAGCTTCTTTACAGTTGATACATTCTTTCTTTTCACTATGACAATTTTTTCTCTCATGTCTACCATTACATGCAGAGCAAACCCTTTCAAACTTATACGGTATTTCTCCAGCCTCCAGCTTCTTTCCCCCTATACGGTATTTCTCCAGCCTTCGTAGCGTGCCTTCGTGGTGTAGTGGTTCTGCACGCTGGGTCGTAATTCCAGACGTCCGTGGTTCGATTCGCGGCGAAGGCGAATGCTCATTTTTCATCTTGACTGCTTCCAAAAAAATACCTAATGTCTCTACAGTGGCACCCGAACTAAAAGGGTGTTGGATGATGATTCTCCTCACCCAGGATTTGGTGAATGGGTGTCCTACAAACCCCAGTCGTCCTTTAAAAGGGAGAGTATATAAGGTATTTCTCCCGCCTTCCTAGCGTACCTTCATGGTGTAGTGCTTCTGCACGCTGGGTCGGTATTCCAGAGGTACGGGGTTCGATTCCCGGGGAAGGCGAATGCTCATTTTCATCTTGCCTGCTTCCAAAAGAAAAAATCTAATGTCTTTACACCCCTTTTTAAACAACTGAGTGCCCTAATTCATTCTTTTAAAGGGGGAGTATGCAAGGTGTTTTCTTCCTCCTTTTCGCATACCTTCGGGGTGTGATTAGAAGCATACTCAATGCGTATTCGAGAGGTCCAGGGTTCGAGTCTTGGTGAGGACACTGCACATTTTTTTACATCTTCTCTTCAGAATACCCTAATGACTCTACATAATTTTATTAATATTAATAACTGCAGTACTTAATTCTGTTGAAGAAGAGGAAAAGTGAGAAGATTGATACATTAATTTTAACACACTATAGCTTACTCATGACCGTATATAAAAACATGACTTTTGATAGCTGACCCTGTATTTGACTGCTTGAGGCCTTAGTGGTTTTCCCCACACGTAATATAAACACCAACCAGCTCTTCCTAGAAAAATCTTCAACGAAGGCATTCCTTTAACGGCAGAGTACTTTATGGCTATTAGCCTAAGAAGGAAGGCCTCAAATCCTGGAGAAGCAGAAGCAAAATTAATTAAGTTAGTTACCGTAGCTGAATTCCAACTGTCTTTTCTAGCTAATTGGAAAATAAAGAGTAAATAAGCAAGATGATTTTTTTTTTTTTTTTTTTTTTTTTGGCTTTTGCGCTTGCTGCAAACTGAAGTGGGATAAGCAGGACAATTCCCTTTTTAATGTAGTGTCCCGTTTCCGGCTATGTTCCAGCAAATGTGTCACATTTTTTAAATATCCCCAGATTTTGTAAGTGGAATTCTCGATGTTTTATACGGTCAGAGAGATAGTTTTTATGAGATCAGAAAAACATTCAGTAATCTAATACTAGAGTTTTATACACTTTAGTGAACTCGAGTGGTCCCCAGAAAGACAGGTGTGTGGAGCGTTTCCTGCATTTCTGTTCAAGTTGATGTCGTGCTTAAAAAGTGGAACAGTGAATGAAATCAAATTATCCCAAGAATTGGATCCTCTTTAAGTATATTGTAGAATGCAAACAGGTGGAAGAAAATAGAGTTGTCTAAAGAAAATATTTTGTAAAGCTAATTTTCTGATAAATAATTCATTGAAATATAACATTTTGAAAAATATAAAATTGTAGTGTCATTAACTTTCTTTCGCTGCAGGAAATCAGCAATATCCTCTTCGGGATTTTAACTCCAGATCTCGCGATTGCTAACCGGACGTGCTTCCAGTTACACTATGAAGGAATGTAACTATAAAAGACAAAATTCCTTACATTCTATCTCACTTAAAGGGCGACTAGGGAAGGGGTGTCCGAGTCCTCAGATCCAGGTAGGGACGAATTATCGTTCATCACATTTTATTGAGGACGTCATTGTTGAACGATTTCGGAATCAGGAAGAGTGAGAAACAGCGATGCCCTCCTAACTTGGATTCGAGTTCGGGACCTTTCGACTATTGGCTGGATGCGCTTTCAATTATACCACGAAAGCACGCCGTAAGGAAGGGGAAAAATCCTTACATTCTCCTCCCTTTGAAGATTAGCTAGGGAGCAAATGACCCAGTCGCCAGATCTGTGTAGTGAAGAATGCTGTTCGTGCCAACTTTATTTCGAAGCAGGAAATATGAAAACTGACGCTGCTTTCGCTGAGATTCGAACTCCTAACCTCAAGTTTTTTGGTCAGACTTGCTTCCAACTAAACCACGAAGGCAAGCGGTAAGGAAAGAGAAAATTACTTACAAAATGCCAGAAAAAGTAAAAAACTTATTCGAGTACAAAGCTGAAACTGAGTGGAATAGATCAGGTTTTCTCCCACATCAGAATAATCATGTTTCTTTCAGGTCCTTAGCATTAATAACTAAGCTCCGTTAGTGGGAATAATCATAGCAACACAACGTAGATTTTGATAATAAAACAGAAAAATGAAAAGTATTTCCAAGTATATAAATATCAGTTTTGAACATAATAGATAGCCACATTGCCTTATGCGACAACCCTCACAAAAAACCGAAAAGATTTCGAAATATGGCATTTGTTTGTGAAGTTTCATCGTAGTATACGACATACTGAAGAAACCCAAATAAAAATATTAATTATTAAAAAAAAACGAATATGCTTCAAACAAAATTTTTTTTCGGTAGGGGGGCCGTAATTGTCTTTTTCCCTCATTGCCTTCTGAAAAATCTGGTCACTTAATCCTCATCAAATAACTAATTAATCAACTTTTGAAGCAGAAAATTTGAGCGCAGCAACCCGATTTTCAAAACTACAGTCTCGGATGAACTCTTCTACGGAAGTCTCTTCTCCTCGAATCTTAGTGGTCGAGTGGTTAAGACCGATGAATGCTGGGGGTTCACTCCGCCTTTGATCCCAGGCGAATCAGCTGGCTGTATGTTTCGTTTCCGTGGTTTACCTCAAGTGCAAGGTGAATACGAGCCAGTTCACTTCGAAAGTATTCGACGAAGGCAGTCGTTTCCTAGGCAGATAGCTCTCGTATGCTTTGTCGTGTTCAAATAACTTAAGCTAACCTTTGTTAAATGAATTAAGTACCGTTGACGTAAATTATATGAAGTATTACGTGAAATAACCTAACAATTTACTACTTTTCCATTTACAGGTATTTAAACAAAAATGCATTTCTCTTTTTTGTATGTCTTATTTTTGTGGTTTCAGTTTATTATGGTTGCATAAAGTATAATCTCATACATTTTGAATCAGTACTCCTTTTTGTTTTCTTACAAAAAATAAGATAAAGAAAGAATTTTTATTGATTTTATTACTAAACCTTATATGATTTAACAGAGATAAAACCCAAAAACAACGCAAACATCACTCTAATATAGCAAAAAATATAATCACGCCTGCGGTAATCAAAGTCCCTGCTATTTGCGTACTGTCATGAGCTTCAAATGTAGGCTTCACAGCAGCAATGGCTGGCTATACAAATTAGCTTAGTTTATAAATCGAGGTTTCACCAAACCATCTAAGCGGCTGATGTAAAATCGAGGTCCAGTGTCTGAGATTTGAAAAAAGACGTAAAAAACTAAAATACAAATTTTGTTCCTGCTTTTAATTATATATATTTAAAAAAACTTAATTTAAAGATATTAATAAATTTTTACGCGTTTCAAATATTATAGAAAACTTTTGAGACCTCCTCAAAGTGTACTCGGGACCTATGCTAGATTTACTCTTGCGTAAATCAAGCGCTGGTGAATGCATAAATCTAACTGGACACAACAGTGTCGCCAACACCTTCAAAGCGTATAAATATGGCAACCCTAATGCGCCAAATTTTAGCTGAGGACTGAGAAGTACTGAGAAGCGAAAGATCAACCAAATAAGTGACTGTTCGAAGCACGGACGCTATTGCACGGTCACGAGGTGCCAGAAATTGACTTTCATGGGAGGAATTTTTTTTAATTCTTGTATTATGTTTCAGTAGGGTCTAAAATACCCGCCACACCCACATGTTTTTTTCCGAACGTTATGAGTTTCTTGATATGCAACAGCAACAGTGCGTTGGATAATTTTTGGTGATATAAGTTCCTGCATGGGGGTAAGTTTATTTTGTGACACTTATTAATAACTCTCAACACGCGTAAAAATTTATTAAGTCAATTTTGTAGGATACATTTTTCATCTTGAAGATTAGTAATAATTTTTACGCTTTGTGGTGTTTTCATGTAAACGTTTTTTGATGTATATAATTTATACAAGGTAATTGATTACTGCTTCCCATTCTCCAAGATAAATTATTTCATCCTTTTAGAAATTAAAAACTTATAAAAATTTTCCGTGTTTTCTAAAAAAATATTCAGTAAGATAAATGTGTCATCAGCAGTATGGATCATTGTATGATAAGAAATCAGCTTTATGTTCTAACGAAATTAATTTTATACTTGCAGTTTAAATACTCTTAATTATTCATTTCAGTATCTCTCACTGAAAGACAGAAAAATATTTAATAAATTACAAATTTACTCCTGATATTAACTACTCGTTATGCTTTCTGAGTGATGCATTGAATATGATTCCTAAGTTAAATGTGTTAAGAATTCTCCGACTTTTCGTACAATCTACGAAATATTTATTATTAAACGAAAGATCCTGAAAAATATTTTATTTATAAAGCGATTTAGAACTAAAGGGATCAAGTGAATTATTTCTATAAATCTCATAAATCTTCAGAATTTCAGACAAAAATGCTAACTTCTAATCATTACATTTCATTTTACATCAATGAATACTAATATTTAAACAAATATTTGATATTAGCATCCGTGTAAATCACCTCCGAAATTTATCAAATAATGTAGTATATTTAACTTAACCTTGAAAGTATAGATTGTCAGTTTAAACAAGCATTAGATTTTGCGAAGTACCGCAGCGCCTGTTGCCGCATAAAAAGTCATCAAACAACCGCATAGGTTTCGATATAGATTGTCCAAGTAGGCGGTTTTAAACGCTACCAGGTGTATTAGTTGCGTCTGCACAGTTTTAATACCGTGATAAGACTAAAGAGTTTCACTACGAGAAAGTATGGAACAAATAATGAAGCGATGTGTATCTTTACCGATTCTGTTAAAATGAAACATTTGCATGCAAATTAAATGCAAAGGATTATTTAAAAACAATGTTATTTAGCCTAAAAATAAAAAACATTCTGATATAGCTGCTTTTTTTTTCTCCTTATTTAAGATAGGCTTCCCGTTCCTGTATTTGATTACTAAAATACCTATAGATGTAGATTTTATTCGCAGACCATTAACTGAATTTAGCAAAAAATAGGCAAAGGAGGGGGAAGGTTTATAACAAAATCCATTAAAGCTTGCTCTTCACATAAGACTATGCTTTTTTTTAAATCATTCCATGCACCAGTCAGTTTAAACGGGAAAGATTATCTGCCTTAGGAGGACTTTCTGCAGGAAACTGCCGTGTTTTCACATTTATAAACGGGATACCTTGCAGTTAGATAGGGTGTGTGTTGGTGTATTTAATTATGGCAAAGCACACGAGGGCTATCTGCCTAAGGGGAGGGATGCCTTCGTGGAGGACTTTCTAAGGAAAACTGGCTCGTATACACGTTACACATGGGAAAAACCACGCAGTTAGATAGGGAAGAGAGCTTGGAATAAAATACCAGGAATTTAGAGAGCTTATCTGCTCTGTCTCTGGTTGCAGGGTGATGGCCACCGGAGCTAAACAAACAATGGTAAATTAAAATGAAGAATTCACAGTAAGGGGATTACTTAAGATTTCACATTTTAATTTTGAAAGCGAATTAATCGGCACTGGAGAAATAGTCAACAATCTTAAATCATATACACTTAATTCTATTAGTTAAATATTCGGTATAATTTTAATTGGAAAGTCATCGCAAGCAAACATATTTATCAATAATTTTGCATTTGCTTTTTATATTTTACTAACTACGATAATATTGAATAATAAAATTATGGTAATATGATAAAATTATGGTAGTATTTAAAATTATGGTAATATTTAAAATTATAGTAGCGTTTATTAAGTAATAAAATGAAGCATGAGTTTACTCATTCATTTATACGTTGCAAGCAAAGGGTCAGGGGAACACGGATGTACTAAGAGTTAGTACTAATTTAATAAATGCTTTGAGCTTAGATCATAAGAAGCTCAATCTTTCCATGTCATCCTAACCCTTTCATTTCACTTTTTTTATATGTCATTTTTCATCCTACTCCAGCACTTCCTTATTTTTTTTAAGCTTTGTATCTTTTCGGAACGTAGTCTGGAAGCATAAGAAATCTGACCCCAAAAAATGTGAAGATATTTTTTATTCTCTTCTATGCGTGTTAAATTCGAGTTCTGCACAACGCGCAGTTTATAGTTCATTTTTATGACACCACTTTGCGTCCATGAACTGCGCAAGGGTATTTATTTATAAAGCGTTACTCAACTTTCACATCTGACGTTCTTATTGCTATCATTCTCTTGTAAATAACTATTCTATGTAGCGATTATCTTTGGTTTTATGAATATGAATATATTTATCGATTATGTGACATTTCACGAGAAATGAATGTCTTGCTGATTTAACGTTCGCATGTTTCTTGAAAATGCACGTAACCAATTCAATCAGAAATATCTATAAGTAAGAAGAAACAATTTATTTATGAGTTTTGACTTGACAAACATTGTGTTTTATCTTACGAAAAATAAATTTCATCATTTTATGAGTAGTTTCACAAAGGCTGCTCTAAGATCTAATAAACCAGAGATGAAATTCATATAATAAAACATAATATTTTATGCTTATGATTATGACATATACTTAAAAGTTGCAGGTACGGTATAATGTCTCCATATACTCATATCAAGATTGTCCGTCTTGTATATTATTAGCCCTAAAGAGGTGTTTCAGGAATTGTAATCATTTGCAAACACTATAATTACTCAATAGTGGACATCTTCTCTTTAAAAAAAATTTCCAATTCCAACGATAAAAGATAATAATAAATTTATTCTATCCTGTTGCGTAGTCAAAAACGTATAATGCTTGGGCAAACTAATTAGTATTCTTTGATTCTATTTGTCAATAGTTTAATTTATCCTTTCTAAATTTTACGGCCTCAAATCATGGGCACGGTTTTATTTTTATTTTCATCAAGCAGGGTGCTACCTGACTGAACTGTTTTTTTAGCAGGGACAACTCCAATACAACGAGATATAATTTGAATCACTAATAAAGCATAGATGATTCTATTTGTTATGTCTGTATAAAATAAGTGCACTTCAAAGCTGTCTATGTAGAAGACATCTTGAAAGGTTTGTGCAAGTAGAAGAAAGGTTACGAAACCTCAGTAGTATCTTCTAGGTTGTCTGAATATACATTTTCATGGCGTTTGGCAGAAGCATACTTTCACTACTGATGTTCCAGTTCTTTGAGCAAACAGCAATATGAACTTTCTTTCGCACCCGTGATTCTTCTTCAGCTGTAGAGATTTGACATCAAAATCCATCCCGTAGGATGCCTTATCTACATTCTGATGGCTTTTGGGTTATTTAATTATGGAAAAGCACACTAGGGCTATCTGCCTAAGAGAAGGGATGCTTTCGTGGAGCACTTTCTAAGGGAACTGGCTCGTATACACGTTAAACATGAGGAAACCCACGAAAACGCCCATGCAGCCAGCCCGTTCGTGGGATTCGAACCTCGGACCGAACTACCAGTGTTCAGCGACTTTACCACTCGGCCGCTGGTGGGGATAGCTTTTGGGAGAAGTATATTATCACTACTGATGCTCTAGTTTTATGACTATACAGCAATACAGCAATGTCTATCGTATCCGTGGATTCTTCATCAACAGCTAGTATTTGAAAGCAACATCGAACAGATTTCAGTGTTTGTTAGCTTCTCAGACGGTGATTCAATAACAAGATCAAAATTAAATTAACATTCTCCTTCGATTTACTCACCTTTCTGGCAGCTGATTCTGACATTCCTGTCAATCTTCCTGAGCTGACACAAGTGTCAACACATCTGCCAATCAGTTGGTATAGTGATTAGCGTATTAATTATCACATCGATGGATATCGTTTAGATTCATTGGTAACGCTTGAATATTTATGATCGTCACTTTTGTATGGAAAAATGTACATAGAACTTTTTAATGCAGAAATACTTTCATATGCCGAATCTTTGAGGTACGTTGTGTCAAAGTTTGGATGGACACATTTCAACCTCCAGTACGGAACTATTAATTAAGTATATCGCTGTAAATTTGACATTACTAAGATTCTAAGCTATGTAGCTGGACGTTACCAGGTTAGAAAACGCAAAGGATGGCTTACCTAAATCTTTATATTGCTCCTCAATATTCATTGTGATTCTTACACACTGTTTTGGTGTGATCATAAGGGATAGCATTATATCATTTAAAATAATTATCAGAAAAATTATTATTACGAAGTATGATTTTTATTTATAGAAATTTCAGGGTATTTCTGAATGAAATTTACTACATGTCAGCGGCCAAGAAAAAATTAAGTTCCGAAATTTCGAAATCGTATGAAATTTAAATCACTAGAAATTTGTAAAATCTATTCACTGTTTTGCGTTCAATTGTTAATACATGTTTTAATTTCAATTTTTTCGTTGTATAAGTTGCCTAGTTTTGTTGCATAATTTCACAACTCTTTACAGTGCTAGGGGGGAAAATGAGGTCTCATGATATTTCTCATTTAATATTCTGTACGTCCATACATAAACATTTTTTTCGAAATAATCCCATAGCGCAGTTTTGGTCTTTTGATTCATAATATATTAAGAAATCTCATGATATCATAACCAAAGCAACTCCGTTTTAAGATACTTCAAGAAACTTTTCTGGTTTGAATATAGTATTGAATTGATGCAACACATATTACATTTTCATGTTTGTTTTAACCGATTATGACAAAACACTCAAAGGTTATATATGAGGAAAGGACACTAAAGGAGATATGATTTATAAGGGAGAACTTTCTAAAGGAAAATAGCTCCTAATATGGAAAAGACTACGGAAATACCATGCAACC